TTTACGTTATTCAGTAAATTACATACGTCCACGGAGTTGCAGAGGATTTTACTACTTGAGGAACTTACACCAGTCGATTACCTCGACTTACAAGAGGAATCTCTCACTTCGTTGCTCTCTCTTCTTCTCTCTCTACACCGAGATACACCGAAGAAGATAAACTTACAAGAGAAATAAACTCAATTTCTCTTCTGTCATAAGCCACCAAGAAGAAGCCAAGGGAGAACAATCTTATTTTTCTTCTTTCTTCTTCCTTCATCGCAAGGAACTACTTCTTGCACTTCTCTTCCTTCTATCTTGAGGAAGCTCGAAGAAGAAAACCATCACTTTGCTTAATCTGAAGGAGAGCCTTGCAATACCTTTTACACGAACAGAAGAGAGCGAATAGATGCTTCACTTCACAAAAGAAGAAGGTGGGAGCGGTTGGCGCCTACGGTTCCCGACTGGACGGTTCACTTCGCGTGCAAGAGTGGGCGGAGGCGGGATCGCGAACGAGGGATCGTGACCTTTGGCGATCAGAAGAGCGGGAGCGGGAGGGGGTCCGAACCGGGCTCCAACATAACAAAAAAACTCCCGCTAAGAATCAACATATTCAAAAGCAGCAAACAACATTTCACCACACAATACTTTTGAGTATAACCTCAACCATATTTTTCAAGAAATAATAGTTTATTTCAACGTAAGCTTACGTCATGAGAAACAAATAACATTTTCTAGTACTTCATTTTGGGCTAAATCGGTCCCATGAGGACTCGATTCAGCCTTTTCCATCACAAGATACTGTCGTTAATCAGAAGCTTTGATAAACGGTCTATAATAGATAAAAAATCCTTAGTAGATTCCCATTAACTTATTCCATTACATGCTACAATCGTCAAATGGAAGCACTTCAACTAAAGCATAAGAAAAGTTGAACATTCATAGTGACAGACAAGGCCTCTATTAATACCCTGGAAGTCAAGATAAAGAGGAAAGAATTGATAAGAATATACCATAATTGTGAAAAATACTATAAGTTGCAAAAGATAACTTCCCACCACAACTATTTAGAAAAAACTGAAAAAACATACCCCAAACACAACCTTATTGTGGCTTGCATGAATGTTGAATTTATAAATACTTTGTGGCGTGCTTTGCATTTGTTGGTTCAAACGAATCCATTCCAAAAACGGCGTCAATCATTGCCACCTTCTTGTAATGATAAATACAATTTATGCTTCTAGTCATGCTTTGGACAATTTGACCATCATATTATTTACCCTTCGACTTCATTGCACGTATGAAATTAAGAGCTTAGGATGGAACCTTCTCTTCACACTCTATGCCTTAAACAACCTTATAAAACTTCTAATTATATTTATGAAGTAGTTGTTTAAGTCGATTCAAAAGTTTTTGGTATTGTTGTGTTTGTCTTGTCAAATAAGACTCTTCAAATTTTAAATTTATAAAAAAATATATTCAAATGATCTCCAAATTAACTTTAAAAACATCTCATCCAAATATTTAAACTTCGAGATTAGAAAAGCATGTCAACTTGATAAATTTTGCTGCTGTGTTTCGATTAGAAAACTTCTATGTTATACCACTAACATTAGTCATCCTCTGGTTCATCCTCTGGCTCCCATCGATTCCTTATATAAATTTAACTAGCAATAATACAAATTATTTTTGTAATTCAATTGCTTCAACTTTTTTTATGAGGGACGCTCTTTGTATATTGTTTATTATACCATTAAAGGATGCAATAATTATCTTTTCTTCGATTATCCTTTTTCATGAGGCTTCTTAACGAGATACTATTAGATGATGCCTTTTTTTTTTCTCATTTTAATGCTTGTTTAATTCAAATTCTCATCATAGTAATATTTCTCATAACAAATTAATGATTAAAAAATTTTATCTTCATCATGTTTAGAATTGATGCGTGCTAAAAAAGTCGAGGCGGTTAGTATTAGATTATAGTCTTAGAGTTGCACGAGAATTCAACACATACTCATATGAAAGAAAAACAAACAGTGATGACACAAGAAATTTTTACGTGGAAAACTCCTAAAGGGAAAAAATCGAAGGGTCTGATCAAGTTGTAAAAATTCACTATTGATTGATGATTACATAAATTTTTGTCTCACTGACGTGAAAGACTTACAAGATTTTTCAAAGTTATAATAATGTTGACTGATGACATTTGATTAATGATGCACGCCGACAATCGGTGGTTGTCAATGGCGATCGGTAGTGGTTAACAACAGTCGGCGGGTGTCTACAACGGTTAGCAACGGTCGATGGCGTGGGCAGTGGTTGACGACAATCGACAGTGGTAGACGGAGGTCAACGGTGGTCGACGACGATCGGTGGTGGTCGATTGCGAACGACGATGGTCGACAACGGTCGGGATGCTGCTGGACTTCAGCTTTTTCTCAGAGCTTCAAGTTCTCTCTCAAGGATCAAGCTCTCTATTCATGAGCGGGGCGTGACTCTATTTATAGTGTTTTGGGTGCAATTAATGCAGGAATATAAAACATTTTGATCGAACGGTCCGGAGAGCTTCCTTCAATCAGACGACGTTTAATGGACATTTGGAGGCTTTAATGATGACATAATTGAGTGATCTTTGGCTTGTTGGATCCATGTTGTCGAGATGCTTGATTCAAATATGAACTTGCTGGATTCGACATATGTTTGGTCTTTCAAATGTGTACGAAAATCTTCCTATAGTGATTTAATAACTTGATTCAAGCTTGATTTGACTCGGATTGGACTAACTTTGATATCATTAGGTTCGTCTCATCAAACCGGCCAGTTTGACTATAAGTTTATTGCAATCAGAGCTCTGAATAAATTTTTATCAAGATTTGAACGTTTCTTGATCAAAATATTGTCTCGAGATCTGTGTCATGCATTGAGATTCATGTTAGATAATGAAAATTTGTTGGTGGTGTATCAAGAATTATTATTTATTGTATGCGATACAAAATGAAAATAGATATTCCACAATGCTATATCTATTAGTTTTGGAAAACATTTGTATACATCACAAATCTTAAAGAGATCAAACGATCGGCTAACTCAGAGCATCTTCTTACCCGATCAGTAGATTCATCAAATAAAGGCGGTTGAAAGAATCAAACTGTTGACAGAATTAGCAGTGGCTTAGACGACCGTCAACTAGAGACAGAAGTAAGTTGTATTAACTGTCAAGTTTAAGATTCATTAGTCACGATTATTCATGATAGTCAGGCATATTCAATTATTTGCATTAGAGAGATAGTTAGATTAAACATTCCATGACTAGGCAAAAGATCTGATACACCCTTTAACTGCAAAAAGAGTAAGGTAATAATGTAATTGTAAAATTAAGCCTCTTATGATTATAAATAAGGACTATTTTATGATTAAAAAGTTGCTCACTCATTTTCTTAGACAATGTCTGTCTTTCCACTATTCCTTTGTTTACGCTCTGACCGTCAAGGCGTGCCTACACTAAGGCGATTTGAGATTCAACAACATTAAATTTCAATTAAGGGCCTGATAAGATAAAAAAATTAATAATTGGAAGAAATCAAAGTACTAGAACTATGATTAATTGCTAAATTTGTTGCGCCACTTAACTATTTTAATTACTTAATTTTTACAATCTTACTTCAATATGTTCTCATGATTAAAAAATTACTGATATCCAATGGATTCCTGATTTCTACATAAATTTAAAATATTCTTTCACCTCGGTCCTATTTCAAATAAAGTATTTATTAGTGAATTCCTATTATTTATTGGAATATCTTGCTGGAGCTAGACAATGACCTAAAAAAAAAAATCAGATTTTTGATTGCATATTTTACATTTTGTGATTTTAGAAGTCTTATTTTAATTATTTCTTATGTTGGATCTATTTATATGCTCAACCAACATATTGGTTATTTAAGGTACCCCACTTCTCATATTTCTAATTCAAATGCTACACTCCGGTTATTTCTAGAGTGTGCATGTAGGGATGTAAACGTGTCGTGCTCGCTCGTGTTCGAGCGTTTCATTTATATTTAGAACACAAAAGGTGTGTTCGTGTTCTGCTCATTTGCTTAGCGAGCCGAACACAAGCAGTTCACGAACAAAAAGTCGTTTTGACAACTCTAATTAGGTAACCATAAGATGTTAATGATTGGGGCAAGATTTAAAAATTATTATTTATATTAAAACATCATTTGAATCTAATTTAATAATTTTTTTTCTATTTTCTTCATTAATACTTTTAATTGATTATAAATCTTTGTAGCATTGTAGTCAATTAAAATTTTAAAAAAGATAACTCAATAAAGATATATAT